ATTTTATTTTTTTTTTTTTTTTTTTTTTGTTATTTGTAGAAAAAAAAAATAAAATTTTTCTTATATCTTGATATAAAATTGAAAATGAATTACGATAAAATAAATTTATTTAGCGAAAATTTTGATATGAAATATGTATTGGAGGAAATAGAAAAAAATTTTGATAAGAGAAAACACTTATTATGTGATATTAATAATGTTGTATTAAATTCTGAAAGAAAAAAAAAATTTATAGATAATTATGAAGAGAAACTAATTGATAAACAGATAAAAATAATAATTAATACAAAAATGAATTATAAAAAATTAAATAATATAAATTATGTGAAATATTATTTACCTTATTGTATACAACCAAAAACAAACAACACCAACTTATGTTTAACTAAAAACATCCATAATAAAAATACTAAACAAAGTATTAACGTTTTTTTTTGTTCTTAATATATTTAAAATTAAATTAAAGAATTATGATAAAAGATAATATTATTTTTATATATATGATATTTAAAGAAACCTTTTTTTTCTTTACATTATAGGTATTTTAAGAGAATTAAATACAAAAAAGAAGGAAGTCGAGTTTAAAATTAAACATTTTATTAAAAAATATACAGGTTTTATTTTAATTATTCTTTTATTATGACTATTTTTATTATGATTATTTTTTTTCTCATTTAATAGGGAGATATAAAAAAAAGAGTATTCTTCATAAACAAATTTCACAATTATTCAAAGAAAAGTCTAAAATTGAACTTTACATAAAAAATAAAAAAAATACCAAAATAAATTTTAATAAAGTTATAGGAGATATTGCTTTTTTTGATCATAATATAAATTTATTACTCGAAAATGTCATATTTAATGTAAACATATAAAAAAAAAAAAAAAAAAAAATAGCTTTTATATTCATATATCTTTTATTTATATATTCAATATATTACTATTTAATATTATAAATATTAATAATACTTTTCCATATATAATTTAAGCTATTTATTAAATTTTTTTTTTTTTTTTTTTTTTTTTTTT